CAATTTTTTTATTTAAACTAGGTTTATTAGCTCACCTGGCCCACAGGGCCAAGTGAGCTTTTCTCATCACTTGGCGTCCGTCTAGTATCTAGTTTTAAAAATGTGTCCGATGACCCCGCCTGCCAACCAAGATGGCCGACATGGCTAAAAATAGAACATAGGGGTAAAATGCAGTTTTTGGCTTATATCTCTGAAACTAAAGCATTTAGAGCAAATCTGACTATGGGTAAAAATGTTCATCAGGTTAAGATCTATCTGCCCTGAAATTTTCAGATGAATCAGACAACCCTTTGTTGGGTTGCTGCCCCTGAATTAGTAATTTTAAGGAAATTTTGCAGTTTTTTGTTATCTTGAATATTATTATAGATGGAGATAAACTGTAAACAGCCATTATGTTCAGCAAAGTCAGATCTACAAAGAAGTCAACATGACCAATATGGTCAATTGACCCAATAAGGAGTTATTGCCCTTTAAAGTCAAATTTAACAATTATTCGTAAATTTTTGTAATCTTTTACAAAAATCTTCTCTCCTGAAACAACTGAGACAAATTTAACCAAACTTGGCCACAATCATCACTAGGGTATCTAGTTTAATAAATGTGTCCGATGACCCTGCCTGCCAACCAACATGTCAGACATGGCTAAAAATAGAACTTTGGGGGAAAATGCAGTTTTTGACTTGTATCTCTGAAAACTAAAGCAAATGTATAACGGTTGCATTATTTCATGCATCAATTGTAAATAAAAATATCAGGTGAGCGACACAGGCTCCTTGGAGCCTCTAGTATTTGTTAGGCATTAAAATCAGTTTTCACTGAAACAACAGATTGAAGCTTTATAACAAATTGGTCTAAAATTTCTTTTATTCCTATTTATATCCTAATGAAGTATATTTTAATAAGAATGTATAGTGATTGTAAAAATTCTTGTCTCCAATTAAGGATTTGACATTACAACATGCATCACATTAATTTCTGAATTGATTGCAACAGCAAATAGCTTTGATTTTGAAGCTGAAACTAATTTAAAATATTTGTTTTTGTTACAGATACTGCCTAAATATGTAAGACTCCTATACCATGAAAGATGCTTCCATTGCAGATAGCACATTAGGATTAGTCACATGTAGGTTTTTATTCATAACAATTGTTCTTAAAACTGTGTTTATATTTGTTAGGTAATAAAAATCAGTTTTTCCTGGAACAACAGCTTGAAATTTTATTACAAATTGGTCCTACATTACATTTATTAAAATATTCACTGTAATGAGATATATTTTAATAAGAATGTATAGTGATTGTAAAAATTCTTGTCTCCAATTAAGGATTTGACATTACAACATGCATCACATTAATTTCTGAATTGATTGCAACAGCAAATAGTCTGGATTAAAAGCTGAAATTAATGTTTATTTTTTTTGTTTTCATTACAGATACAGCCTAAATATGTAAGACTCCTATACCATGAAAGATGCTTCCATTGCAGATGCACATTAGGATAAGTCACATGTAGGTATTTGGTCATTACAATTTTCCTTCAAACTATATTTATATTTGTTAGGTAATAAAAATCAGTTTTTTCCTGAAACAACAGATTGAAGCTTTATAACAAATTGGTCTAAAATTTCTTTCATTCAAATTTATACTCTTAATGCTGAATATTTTAATAAGAACGTATAGTAATTGTAATTATATACTTTTCTCTATTTTGGGATTTAACATAAAACATGCATCACATTATTTTCTGAATTGATTGCAACAGCAAAGAGTCTGGATTTAAAGCGTAAACTAATTAATAATTTTTGTTTTTGTTACAGATTATACAGCCTTAATATGTAACACTCCTATACCATGAAAGATGCTTTCACACATTAGGATGTTGCACATGTAGGTATTTGGTCATTACAATTGTTCTTAAAACTTATGTTTATGTTTGTTAGGTAATAAAAATCCGTTTTTTCCTGAACAGTTTGACAAAAAGATGCTTTATGTTAAAATGGGTCTCGTAAAAGCAGACCTCTGCAGAGAGCAAACTTTAGATTTTGATATAACATTGATGAATTTTAATGGGCGATAATCTCGTAAAAGCAGATCCCCCAGCAGAGCTGATTACATAGTATGATAACTTGTGTTTATGGTAAAATGTATTTAGTTTTTTTGTCTGGCTCTATTTCATTATCAACCAATTTGAAACTTTATTACAAATTGGTCTCAAAAAAATTTCTTCAAATTTATACTCTAATGAAATATATTCTTAATGGAATGTATAGTAATTATAAATATTCTTGTCCAACATGCAAAGATTAAATTCTGAAAAAATTGCAACAGCAAATAGTCTGTATTTAAAGCTGATATTAATTTATAGTTTTTGTTAAAGATACATCTAAATATGTTGCACTCCTAGACAGAGAAGATGGATTCATGGCAGATAGGAAGAGTCAACATGTAAGTATTTGGTCATTACAATTGTACTTAAAACTATGTTAATATTTGGAAGTCAATAAAAATCTGTTTTCACTGAAACAATAGCTTAAAATTTTATTACAGATTGGTCTAAAATATCTTTTATTCGAATTTCAAATGTGGTATATTTTAATAAGAATGAATAAGTAATTGTAAATTAATTGTCCGTAATTTAAGATTTGACATAAAACATGAATCACATTAATTTTTGATTTTTTTTAACAGCCATTAAATATTCTCTAAAGCTGATGCTAATTTAAATTTTTTCTTTTGAAACAGATACAGCCCAGATATGTTCCACTCCTACCCAATGAATATGGTTTCATGGTAGATGCACATTAGGATGTTTAACATGTAGGTAGTCATTACAATTGTACTTTAGACTATGTTTATATGTGTTGGTTAATAAATATCAGTTTTACCTGGAACAACAGCTTAAATAAAATATTATTTCAAATTAGTGTACATATTTCTTTTGTTCAAATTTATAATCTAGTGAAGTAAATTTTAACATGAATGTGTAGTAATTTTAAATATTCTTGTGTCCAATTTAGGATTTGACATAAAATATGAGTGACATTTATTTTATAATTGTTGCAACAGCCAATAGTCTCTATTTGAAGCTGATACTAATTGATGATTTGGTTTTGTTATAGATACAGCCGAAATATGTTACACTCCTAGACAATGAAGATGGTTTCATGGTAGATTGATCACACATCTGGATACGTAGCATGTAGGTATTTGGTATTTTTAATTGTACTTTAAACTATGTTTATATGGTTGGCAGGTAACAAAAATAAGTTTTCCCTGGAAGCTTAAATTAGATTTGATTACAAATTGATTTAAAATTTCTTCAATTCAAATTTATACTCTTATGAAGATTATTTTAATGATAATGTATAGAAATTGTTTATATACTTCTCTTCAGATTAGGATTTTTCATCAAAAATGCATCATATTAATTTTGAATTAATTGCAACAACCAATATTCTCTATTTAAAGCTGATACTGATTTAGAGTTTTTGTTTTTGTAACAGATACAGACTAGATATGTTACCCTCCTAGACAATGAAGATGCTTTCATGGTATACAGCACACGAAGATTTGTATCATGTAGGTATTTGGTCATTATAATTGTACTTTTAACTCTTTTTATATGTGTTGGGTAACAAAAATCAGTTTTCCCGTTGAACAACAGTTTAAAATTTTATTACAAATTTGTCGAACATTTCTTTTATTCAAATATTTACTGTAATAAGTAATTGTAAATATTTTAGTCTCCAATTTAGGATTTGACATAAAACATGCATCACATTAATTTCTGAATTGATTGCAACATCAAATATTCCCTATTTAAAGCTGATACTAATTTACAATTTTTGTTTTTGTTACAGATAACGCCTAAATATGTTACACTCTTCGACAATGAAAATGGTTTCATTGTAGATAGCACATTAGGATTATTCACATGTAGGTATTTATTCATTACAATTTTTTTATTTAAACTAGGTTTATTAGCTCACCTGGCCCACAGGGCCAAGTGAGCTTTTCTCATCACTTGGCGTCCGTCTAGTATCTAGTTTTAAAAATGTGTCTGATGACCCCGCCTGCCAACCAAGATGGCCGACATGGCTAAAAATAGAACATAGGGGTAAAATGCAGTTTTTGGCTTATATCTCTGAAACTAAAGCATTTAGAGCAAATCTGACTATGGGTAAAAATGTTCATCAGGTTAAGATCTATCTGCCCTGAAATTTTCAGATGAATCTTACAACCCTTTGTTGGGTTGCTGCCCCTGAATTAGTAATTTTAAGGAAATTTTGCAGTTTTTTGTTATCTTGAATATTATTATAGATGGAGATAAACTGTAAACAGCCATTATGTTCAGCAAAGTCAGATCTACAAAGAAGTCAACATGACCAATATGGTCAATTGACCCCATAAGGAGTTATTGCCCTTTAAAGTCAAATTTAACAATTATTCGTAAATTTTTGTAATCTTTTACAAAAATCTTCTCTCCTGAAACAACTGAGACAAATTTAACCAAACTTGGCCACAATCATCACTAGGGTATCTAGTTTAATAAATGTGTCGGATGACCCTGCCTGCCAACCAACATGTCAGACATGGCTAAAAATAGAACTTTGGGGGAAAATGCAGTTTTTGACTTGTATCTCTGAAAACTAAAGCAAATGTATAACGGTTGCATTATTTCATGCATCAATTGTAAATAAAAATATCAGGTGAGCGACACAGGCTCCTTGGAGCCTCTAGTATTTGTTAGGCATTAAAATCAGTTTTCACTGAAACAACAGATTGAAGCTTTATAACAAATTGGTCTAAAATTTCTTTTATTCCTATTTATATCCTAATGAAGTATATTTTAATAAGAATGTATAGTTATTGTAAATATACGTCTCCAATTTAGGATTTGACATAAAACATGCATCACATTAATTTCTGAATTGATTGCAACAGCAAATAGCTTTGATTTTGAAGCTGAAACTAATTTAAAATATTTGTTTTTGTTACAGATACTGCCTAAATATGTAAGACTCCTATACCATGAAAGATGCTTCCATTGCAGATAGCACATTAGGATTAGTCACATGTAGGTTTTTATTCATAACAATTGTTCTTAAAACTGTGTTTATATTTGTTAGGTAATAAAAATCAGTTTTTCCTGGAACAACAGCTTGAAATTTTATTACAAATTGGTCCTACATTACATTTATTGAAATATTCACTGTAATGAGATATATTTTAATAAGAATGTATAGTGATTGTAAAAATTCTTGTCTCCAATTAAGGATTTGACATTACAACATGCATCACATTAATTTCTGAATTGATTGCAACAGCAAATAGTCTGGATTAAAAGCTGAAATTAATGTTTATTTTTTTTTGTTTTCATTACAGATACAGCCTAAATATGTAAGACTCCTATACCATGAAAGATGCTTCCATTGCAGATGCACATTAGGATAAGTCACATGTAGGTATTTGGTCATTACAATTTTCCTTCAAACTATATTTATATTTGTTAGGTAATAAAAATCAGTTTTTTCCTGAAACAACAGATTGAAGCTTTATAACAAATTGGTCTAAAATTTCTTTCATTCAAATTTATACTCTTAATGCTGAATATTTTAATAAGAACGTATAGTAATTGTAATTATATACTTTTCTCTATTTTGGGATTTAACATAAAACATGCATCACATTATTTTCTGAATTGATTGCAACAGCAAAGAGTCTGGATTTAAAGCGTAAACTAATTAATAATTTTTGTTTTTGTTACAGATTATACAGCCTTAATATGTAACACTCCTATACCATGAAAGATGCTTTCACACATTAGGATGTTGCACATGTAGGTATTTGGTCATTACAATTGTTCTTAAAACTTATGTTTATGTTTGTTAGGTAATAAAAATCCGTTTTTTCCTGAACAGTTTGACAAAAAGATGCTTTATGTTAAAATGGGTCTCGTAAAAGCAGACCTCTGCAGAGAGCAAACTTTAGATTTTGATATAACATTGATGAATTTTAATGGGCGCTAATCTCGTAAAAGCAGATCCCCCAGCAGAGCTGATTACATAGTATGATAACTTGTGTTTATGGTAAAATGTATTTAGTTTTTTTGTCTGGCTCTATTTCATTATCAACCAATTTGAAACTTTATTACAAATTGGTCTCAAAAAAATTTCTTCAAATTTATACTCTAATGAAATATATTCTTAATGGAATGTATAGTAATTATAAATATTCTTGTCCAACATGCAAAGATTAAATTCTGAAAAAATTGCAACAGCAAATAGTCTGTATTTAAAGCTGATATTAATTTATAGTTTTTGTTAAAGATACATCTAAATATGTTGCACTCCTAGACAGAGAAGATGGATTCATGGCAGATAGGAAGAGTCAACATGTAAGTATTTGGTCATTACAATTGTACTTAAAACTATGTTAATATTTGGAAGTCAATAAAAATCTGTTTTCACTGAAACAATAGCTTAAAATTTTATTACAGATTGGTCTAAAATATCTTTTATTCGAATTTCAAATGTGGTATATTTTAATAAGAATGAACAAGTAATTGTAAATTAATTGTCCGTAATTTAAGATTTGACATAAAACATGAATCACATTAATTTTTGAATTTTTTTAACAGCCATTAAATATTCTCTCAAGCTGATGCTAATTTAAATTTTTTCTTTTGAAACAGATACAGCCCATATATGTTCCACTCCTACCCAATGAATATGGTTTCATGGTAGATGCACATTAGGATGTTTAACATGTAGGTAGTCATTACAATTGTACTTTAGACTATGTTTATATGTGTTGGTTAATAAATATCAGTTTTACCTGGAACAACAGCTTAAATAAAATATTATTTCAAATTAGTGTACATATTTCTTTTGTTCAAATTTATAATCTAGTGAAGTAAATTTTAACATGAATGTGTAGTAATTTTAAATATTCTTGTGTCCAATTTAGGATTTGACATAAAATATGAGTGACATTTATTTTATAATTGTTGCAACAGCCAATAGTCTCTATTTGAAGCTGATACTAATTGATGATTTGGTTTTGTTATAGATACAGCCGAAATATGTTACACTCCTAGACAATGAAGATGGTTTCATGGTAGATTGATCACACATCTGGATACGTAGCATGTAGGTATTTGGTATTTTTAATTGTACTTTAAACTATGTTTATATAGTTGGCAGGTAACAAAAATAAGTTTTCCCTGGAAGCTTAAATTAGATTTGATTACAAATTGATTTAAAATTTCTTCAATTCAAATTTATACTCTTATGAAGATTATTTTAATGATAATGTATAGAAATTGTTTATATACTTCTCTTCAGATTAGGATTTTTCATCAAAAATGCATCATATTAATTTTGAATTAATTGCAACAACCAATATTCTCTATTTAAAGCTGATACTGATTTAGAGTTTTTGTTTTTGTAACAGATAGACTAGATATGTTACCCTCCTAGACAATGAAGATGCTTTCATGGTATACAGCACACGAAGATTTGTATCATGTAGGTATTTGGTCATTATAATTGTACTTTTAACTCTTTTTATATGTGTTGGGTAACAAAAATCAGTTTTCCCGTTGAACAACAGTTTAAAATTTTATTACAAATTTGTCGAACATTTCTTTTATTCAAATATTTACTGTAATAAGTAATTGTAAATATTTTAGTCTCCAATTTAGGATTTGACATAAAACATGCATCACATTAATTTCTGAATTGATTTCAACATCAAATATTCCCTATTTAAAGCTGATACTAATTTACAATTTTTGTTTTTGTTACAGATAACGCCTAAATATGTTACACTCTTCGACAATGAAAATGGTTTCATTGTAGATAGCACATTAGGATTATTCACATGTAGGTATTTATTCATTACAATTTTTTTATTTAAACTAGGTTTATTAGCTCACCTGGCCCACAGGGCCAAGTGAGCTTTTCTCATCACTTGGCGTCCGTCTAGTATCTAGTTTTAAAAATGTGTCTGATGACCCCGCCTGCCAACCAAGATGGCCGACATGGCTAAAAATAGAACATAGGGGTAAAATGCAGTTTTTGGCTTATATCTCTGAAACTAAAGCATTTAGAGCAAATCTGACTATGGGTAAAAATGTTCATCAGGTTAAGATCTATCTGCCCTGAAATTTTCAGATGAATCAGACAACCCTTTGTTGGGTTGCTGCCCCTGAATTAGTAATTTTAAGGAAATTTTGCAGTTTTTTGTTATCTTGAATATTATTATAGATGGAGATAAACTGTAAACAGCCATTATGTTCAGCAAAGTCAGATCTACAAAGAAGTCAACATGACCAATATGGTCAATTGACCCAATAAGGAGTTATTGCCCTTTAAAGTCAAATTTAACAATTATTCGTAAATTTTTGTAATCTTTTACAAAAATCTTCTCTCCTGAAACAACTGAGACAAATTTAACCAAACTTGGCCACAATCATCACTAGGGTATCTAGTTTAATAAATGTGTCCGATGACCCTGCCTGCCAACCAACATGTCAGACATGGCTAAAAATAGAACTTTGGGGGAAAATGCAGTTTTTGACTTGTATCTCTGAAAACTAAAGCAAATGTATAACGGTTGCATTATTTCATGCATCAATTGTAAATAAAAATATCAGGTGAGCGACACAGGCTCCTTGGAGCCTCTAGTATTTGTTAGGCATTAAAATCAGTTTTCACTGAAACAACAGATTGAAGCTTTATAACAAATTGGTCTAAAATTTCTTTTATTCCTATTTATATCCTAATGAAGTATATTTTAATAAGAATGTATAGTTATTGTAAATATACGTCTCCAATTTAGGATTTGACATAAAACATGCATCACATTAATTTCTGAATTGATAGCAACAGCAAATAGCTTTGATTTTGAAGCTGAAACTAATTTAAAATATTTGTTTTTGTTACAGATACTGCCTAAATATGTAAGACTCCTATACCATGAAAGATGCTTCCATTGCAGATAGCACATTAGGATTAGTCACATGTAGGTTTTTATTCATAACAATTGTTCTTAAAACTGTGTTTATATTTGTTAGGTAATAAAAATCAGTTTTTCCTGGATCAACAGCTTGAAATTTTATTACAAATTGGTCCTACATTACATTTATTAAAATATTCACTGTAATGAGATATATTTTAATAAGAATGTATAGTGATTGTAAAAATTCTTGTCTCCAATTAAGGATTTGACATTACAACATGCATCACATTAATTTCTGAATTGATTGCAACAGCAAATAGTCTGGATTAAAAGCTGAAATTAATGTTTATTTTTTTTGTTTTCATTACAGATACAGCCTAAATATGTAAGACTCCTATACCATGAAAGATGCTTCCATTGCAGATGCACATTAGGATAAGTCACATGTAGGTATTTGGTCATTACAATTTTCCTTCAAACTATATTTATATTTGTTAGGTAATAAAAATCAGTTTTTTCCTGAAACAACAGATTGAAGCTTTATAACAAATTGGTCTAAAATTTCTTTCATTCAAATTTATACTCTTAATGCTGAATATTTTAATAAGAACGTATAGTAATTGTAATTATATACTTTTCTCTATTTTGGGATTTAACATAAAACATGCATCACATTATTTTCTGAATTGATTGCAACAGCAAAGAGTCTGGATTTAAAGCGTAAACTAATTAATAATTTTTGTTTTTGTTACAGATTATACAGCCTTAATATGTAACACTCCTATACCATGAAAGATGCTTTCACACATTAGGATGTTGCACATGTAGGTATTTGGTCATTACAATTGTTCTTAAAACTTATGTTTATGTTTGTTAGGTAATAAAAATCCGTTTTTTCCTGAACAGTTTGACAAAAAGATGCTTTATGTTAAAATGGGTCTCGTAAAAGCAGACCTCTGCAGAGAGCAAACTTTAGATTTTGATATAACATTGATGAATTTTAATGGGCGCTAATCTCGTAAAAGCAGATCCCCCAGCAGAGCTGATTACATAGTATGATAACTTGTGTTTATGGTAAAATGTATTTAGTTTTTTTGTCTGGCTCTATTTCAT